GAGAAATAAATAAGAAAACTTTGAAACAATTGCATGAAATCACGAAGAGATTTTTACATTATTGAAGAGAAAATTAGTTTTTAATAATAATAAATATATTATTGTAGAAATTCGGATTAAAGTTTGAATTTTTTTTAACAGATCTCTTTTTCAAATATCGTATTATTCTCTTAACTGTAAATCATTTTTTATATGTTTTCCTATTTACTTTTTATATTATTTTATTATCTTAAAATTTTTCTCTGCGCGCGTATACACATATTACGGCTAGTAGTACAATCTAATCTAAAGGGATCTATGATTTTCGCAGAGATAGGATTTTATTGAATTTCGATAAAATTCTGGTTCTTTTTATTGTAAACCCAGTCACTCCAGGTGATTGATAAAACCGATTCTTGAGTGCCATTAAACCGGTTTCATTTCAACGCACTCGCGTTACCCCAATGACTCCGCGAGACCCAGTTTTATGAAGCTTGTGCCGAGTTCGCGTCACCCACTTCCGCCGGCTGATCAGATATACGCAGAAGCGAGAAAAACGTGCCCTCCGTCCACGCAGGTTGCATTCACGATGTACCTGTTACACACATACGTGTATATTTCATGCGTGCGTAAATGTGTGCGTGCAAACCGCGACCGACACAGCGATGAAAGAACGTCGTCTGAAAATATTGTAGGGGCAACCCCAACAAACGCGCCTTAAAAATTAGATTAAATAATCTATGTTTATACGCGGTCCGGTTTAAACGCGTGGTACTCTCCATTTTTGATTCGCAAATGGCACGTACGTCGTCATTACATGCATGAATAACTACAATAAAGTCATTATAATTTCCAATTTCTCTAGCTGGATCTACTAATAAAATTCTAGCGCTTATATATATATATATATATATAATAAAAGTGCTAGAATTTTATTAATTAGAATTTTATTAGTAAATCTAGCTAAAGAAGCTAGAAATTAATGACTTTATTGTCGCAATTCTCGTACACACACATATATATATATATATATATGCGAGAATCTTGATAAATCAAAATAAACGCACATGCTTGAGAAACGTTTATGAGTTGATTTGTGAAAAAAGTCCCCAAAAATTATAGATATATTAAAGAAATTGAGTAAAAACGTTTTGAATAATCCTCTAATTTATAAAAGCTTGCAACGCGCGTGTTCATTTGCACATATATAAATCTATGTGCACGCAATGTGCACGTATGATTCGACATGCGTGATCTTGCAAGCATGATGCACAATGCGTAATGTCTTCAGCTGTCTCCCTCTTTAATTGCGTTTCAAGAGAAAGGGAGACTCCTCCGGTAAAGAGGAAGAGAGTACATCAGTAAGACTCCGTTCTTTGCACGACACTTATTTTTATGCCCACTCATTTGCACCCGCTTATGGTCTGCAGGCACGTGCTACCCGGATCGATGAAGAGTGGTATTGTGTTGTACTCACAAAAACCCCATAAATATGTTTAGTACACATCGGACGATTCCTCCATTATTATCTCATGTTTTTAATTCAAGGATAAGTCTACTTTATCGCAATATATAATTAAAGTACTTTCGTTATGCCAAGCTTAAAAAAATAAAGCAAATATTTCACAAGATATAAACGCACCTCATTATTTAAGACATTGGAGATAAAAATATCATATATATCGTAAAATTATTTTCGTTTCTAATCCTTGATTTAAGCATATCGATATTTCCATATAAAAATTAAAAAATAATTAAAACAAGCGTAAAATAAAAATCTATAATTGAAAATTAAAGATTTATATAAGAAGATGAAGAAAAAGAGATCACTATAGAAAGAACCAGTGTACAATGAATATTCTTTGATCGAAGCGGCCTTCTTTCATTTTGTATCGTGAAATATAAGCGGCCGGAGGGCACCGCGTTTAGCCATGAAAACTGTAATAACGTAAGCTTAAGAGCTCAAACCTATACTGTAACAACGATACAACGCATCACAAATTTAAAATTACGCTGACAACTCATTCCGATAAGCATCATTGGCAACAGAGTACCGCATTGGCCATCAGCAGGATGGCACAATCGATCGATAAACCGCATAAGCCATAAAACAATGATCCTCGGAGAAAAACGACGTGATGAATTATAACTTTATTCCCAAAAAATGTGCGCTGGGTCAATATATTGTCGAAGACGATTGATAGCATCGATTTGTTTGCGGTGCCGATTATTTATACCACAAATAAGTGTATATATGTTTGGCAACGAGCTGTGACATCAATTGTCAATTTGATGCTATTGAGATTCATATAATAAAAAATTCGTTCGCTATATAAAATATTGCTGCATAAAAAATGTAAAACATATGTACAACGTAAGTAAAAAGAAGAATAACGTAAATATTTAGACGGAGCTCTTTATAAAAAATTTTAATCTGTGTTATATTTTCCTTGAGATCTTTGCAATCACTTAGAAAATTTATAGACATGTTCGCATTATATGTATAAATTGGAAACCACAATTGGAAATCACGTGACATTACATGAAGAATATTTGAACATACAATTCGTTGCGCACCTGCAATGTAACAGTTACTTTCGCGTGACGTCTTATTCGTCATATCTCCGCAGAACGGTATATGTTATGTGTACATGGATGCCATGTATCTTTAATCAAACAAGAGACAAAGAGAGAGAGAGAGAGAGAGAGAAACAGCCGATGACTCGAGCTTTTCCAGACTAAAAGAACGTTGGACAGCTGGCACAAGGTGCCCCCTTTCTGTGTTTCTATCGAAATTCCGCTTGCTGGGCGCAACTTTGCACACATTCAATGTTTCCTCACAGTCTCATGCCAACCAAATCCTTGAGTTCACAGATTATAAGAAATTCGTCACTTATAATAGTTAATGGATGAACGTTATAATGCCTCAGCAATCCAACGCTAGTTCTTTGATACTTATCTTTCTCGCAAAATTTGAAGAACATTTCATTCCTCTACTTCATCTTATATGTCTCGACAAAATTAATATGCATTTCCTTTTTCGTGCTGTAATAAATTAATATATCAAAGATCAGATTACCAGATCTGGCAATTTGATCTTTGGTATATTCAGATTATTAGAGTTGCGTTTCAAGACCGACGAGTGTGTTCGGCGCGCAATTTTGGGGGACTACTGGGTTAATTATTAATTTAAATTACATATCAGTCTAAATGAGACGTTATTCTTACTTTGATAAATATTGCGAAGAATATTACTATGTCGACCCGCCATCAGAGGTCTACTGATATTCGCAAATTCTCGTAAGTGCTGTTACACACGTATATATCTTCATACAATAACTTTCCCAGGCGTTTAAGGTAGACTTCCACTACAATAGAGAATTTTTGCAATACCGTTTATCCCTGATACGGTGAACGCTAAAAGTCACGTTATCCTTTTCTTAATTAGGTGTGAAGAAAAAGATAACTTTTAACGTTCACCGTATCTGGGATAAATGGTATTGCAAAAACTCCCTAATACCTTTACTGATGAGTCTTAGTAGTGGAAGCCGGGACGAAATGTCAAAATTACGTAATATTCTTCTCAATATATCAGAATAAATTAAGATTTTAAAGAATTTATTGGCTCATAGCCCTGTTTCTCTTTATTAGTTTTAAATTTATTGAGCCATATTAAAAACATATTTTAATATACCAAAGCCTAGTACAGCTTTTAGAGGGCGACTTTCACCAAATTCCGATTAACTTAACTATTCTAGTATAGTAACTTTACAGGATTAACCAATCGCATTTATCAGTCAGCGTCGGACTGGCTCATTTTTGGGCCCTCGACGACAAAATATCACGGGTCCCCCTACCCTCATTCCTGTATAAAATAATATGTAACTGCACACTTATTTGTATCATATAATGACAACGCGTTCAAAATACGCATGTATGCACGTTTTATTTTTAATTCCAATTTGTATAAAATTTTATTTTATTTTATTAAAAAGCAAATACATCAATTTGTTTTTAATCTTACTTTTTGTAATTTTTTTATGCGAGCTCTTATAGTTCAAAATCATTGGATATATAGTTTCCGCGACTAATTTTTTTTTGTCACCGGCCTTGCTTGTTGGGTCCCTTCCAGGACCGGGCCCTCGACAATCACCGACTAGCCGACCTGACCAGTCCGACGCTGGATTAATCGGAGTTGGTGAAAGTGGCCCTTAATATAGTTACTATATTTTGTGTCAAATTTTAAAATAGAATTCGAGAACAGAATCATTAAGATCTGAAGAATATACTCCTGAATTGCATGTATACATTGCAATACAAAATATTTTTTTAAGAACAGTAAAATACTAGCAGTGACATACACATTACGTGGACGATTAGTAAAGATATATCAATGGCTTGACTGTTAACCTTCAGTAAAAAATATAAATTACTGTATTATCCGAAGAGAAATTGTATAATGCCTATATACTACTAGCAATTTTGTAGTATTCTCACAGATGTCGCTGTAATTTATAACTTGTAGGGACCCCGCTTCTTTTCCAACACTCGTTTCCAATTGTCAGATATGCTCATCTCCTTTCTATCCATTTCAGATTCTTTCCGGCTCCCTATCAATTCTCAATCAAACATTGAATGAATTTAAACGTTTCCTATTTGAAAAAGTCATTACTATAAAAAGTATAGCAACTTTCGCATTTGAACTTCCCGGTCTTTACTATTCTGGGCGGAGCCTCAATCTTCAGTCAATAAACTTCAGTTTGGCGACACCTGGCGACACCGAGCGTGAGCCTTTTCTATAGCAAAAATGAAGGACTAGCAGTCGGTTGTCCATGTGTTTATAGTTAAAGAAGATTTATGTGTATGGTGGTTTAGTTATTGCAGGTTATTGATAGTTCTCCAAAAACAGAAAAAACTTTACGAAAAAATATTCATGATATGACGTTAAATTTGCATAGCGGAGTTTACAAGTTCATGTTTATTTTGTAAATCAAACTTTCTCAATACTTGACAAGATATGTAATATTAAATATGATCTGTGATATTAGAAGATAATAATACCAATCAGCCTATTCAACTTCTCCTCTCTGTGTACTTATCTTATATTACAAGTATACTATAAAACATGAATCTACTCCCAAAAGCGCACGAGGAATTCAGTCATGCAGAATACTGGAACACATTCTTCAAAAAGCGTGGCAAGAAGGCATTTGAATGGTAAAAATTATATGTGTATGTTAACAATGTTATTTTGTATTTTTATTTTGTAATTTTCTGGCTTTAGGTATGGAGAATATCCAGAATTATGTGGAACACTTTCAAAGTATATTAAAATAAAAGATAATATTCTGATTGTTGGTTGCGGGAATTCTACATTAAGCATGTCTTTGTATGACGTTGGTTACAGGTACAGTTTCTTGTATATATTTTTGTACATCATAATTTTCTAAGTTTTCTAATGTATATAGTCAATACTTGATAGCAAGTTAAGTCATTTGTATCATACTGGATTAGTGTATACTAAAAGCTGTTGTATACGAAATTAGCATAAATAAATGTAAAAGTATATATATATATATTTTTTTTTTTTAAATGATTAAGTACTTAATATAAATGATATTGTTTAACAGAATATATATGTACTATTTTATTGTCAAAGTTGATTGTATATTATGCCACTATATTTAGATACCTTATATAAAAAGCAGACTTTAATATGTAACTAATCCAATATAGTATGAGTAATAAAATTTATTATAAGGTTCTACAGAAGAATATAAATCAAGATTGATATTACAGAAATATAGTCAATATCGATATATCACATATTGTGATCAAACAAATGTGTGATATAAATAACAGTATAAGGCCAGATCTGGTGTACGAACATATGGATGCTACACAAATGACATATTCTGATGAAAAATTTAGTGTGATTCTCGACAAAGGTACACTGGATGCTCTAATGCCGGATACCAAAGAGACAACACTGTCTACAGTTAATAAATATTTCAAGGTAAGTTTCTGATTACTAGAAAAATTACTAAAAAATTTCAGTTTCAGTAACCTATATTAGTTAAAATTTACTTTAGGAAATCACACGAGTGTTACGGAATGGAGGCAGATACATCTGCATATCGTTGCTCCAAGAGCACATCCTACGTAAGCTTTTGTCATACTTTCCTGCTTCAGGCTTCATGTTTCGCATAGTACGATGTCACGAAACTGAGTTGAAAGCACGTACAGAAGAAGGCAATTCACTTCTTGTTTTTGCGATCATTGCTACAAAATTTACCAAATTATCTCAGAACGTATGTTGTAAGAAAAGATCTTTAGAATTCTTATGTTATCATCTTAGCTTTTGCTAGATGAGCAAGTTAGTCACATTTATTTTTGTAGATTATAATCTCAATAGGTTCTCGAAATAGCTCTGGTTAATGGCCCACCTGAACGATTATCTACAACGGACGATATGATATCCGCCGTATTGTGCGCGCAACAGTCTGCATTGTTGTGCAATAGTCTTTACAAGAGAAGCATCGCCGATGTGGGAGAAGTATCATTAGATTTACATCGTCCAGGTGATAAGCATCCAAGATACACCGTCTATGTTCTCGATCAACCACGCACACGGGGGACAAAGACATATGCGGCTTTCATTGTGCCACAGGGAAAGTATGTTTGATATATTAGTTAAATAAATGTATCGAGTTGCTGTCATTATATTTTTTCTTTCTCAATTTAACAGAGAAACGGATTGGTTGTTCAATACGAAAGAAGGACGACAGCAAGTCCTAAAAAGCGCGCAGCGAGACAGACTCGCAATTATCACCTTACGTAGAGAACACAAGTTTGATAATTGGGATGCTGTGAAAACAGAGTTAGAAGATTGCGTTCTTAACTTAGCACCGGCCGATTTGTCCAAAAACGATATTCCTTTTCTGTCTCTGGGTTCTGATGTTGGGGTTCGAAACATTTGCTATGAAGGAAAAAGCGAAATTAGTGGACCATTTATTATCGAAGAAGTAGAAAAGGATGGCCACGAATTCAGGCGACTTGTGTTCCTGAATAATCCTTATGTCATTCAGAGCGAAGCCAGACTAAAAGACGGTATTAATTTATAATCAGTTCGGAAATTCTACGGTACTGACAAAATGATTGCACACGATTGTGGCTGATGACAATTATTTACAGCAAAATCTAGACGTGGTAAAACGAAGAAAATCGTCGATCCTGGATTCTTAGCTTGTGAACATCATATATATATGACCACTGGAGTAAATGCAGTAATTGATATAAAAGAACAGGACAATATTATGATTATAGGACTTGGAGGTGGTGGTCTTTGCATGTTCTTACATCAATGTTTTCCTAAAGTATGTATCTTTAGATAGCATTCATTATTGAGTTGTTAAAAATCTTTTTCATAACATAGGAAATTTTTATTTCTTTCCAGTTAAAAATTACTGCAGTCGAAATTGATAATGCGATGTTAAAAGTAGCTACCGAATACTTCAATCTTATTCTTGATGACCGGATGAAAGTGGAAATCGCGGATGGAATTCAATATATTAAAGACGTTGTGACATCCGAGACAAAATACAAAGCGATACTTTTCGATATCGATAGCAAAGATACCACTGTCGGAATGAGTTGTCCACCTAAACAATTTCTCGAAATGTCAGTGCTGAAAGCAGTTGCCTCGTGCTTAACGAAGAACGGTCTTTTTATCTTGAATTTAGTCAGTCGAGACAAAAGTCTAAAACAGAAAACTAAGGACGATCTGAAATCGGCATTCTCATCGATTACTTGTCACGCCATTCAAAATGAAATTAATGAAATTGTTATGTGTTCCGTTGAAAAACACAATCCGAAAGAATGGAAAAATAGACTTAGACTCGCCGCCATTGATTTGAACAAACAAGCAACTGCGAGAAAATTATTCTCTTTCAAGGAATCATTTGACGCCTCCATACTTTTAGAAAATTTATCTGTAGAATTGTAACGTTTTGTACATATATATTTATCGTGACAAATAAAATTAAAAATATAGTTTCTAATAGCTTAACATGTGTTTCTTTCAAAATATCTTTTGTCAATGTACTATTTTTCAATGCGGAAATATTTTTTATAACTTATCAAACCAATACCAAAGGTTAAACGAATTTGGATGTGCGATAATTTTAATCTTTCGATCAAGTTTCGACCATCTTCAGTACATAAAAATCAATTATATAAAGAATGTGTAATATAAAACGACGATAATGTTAATAATACAAACGTCAAGATTTACAGTGTATAAAGTCAGAAAATACGAATAATAAAAACACAAAAATTAGAAGTATTTTTAAGTTAAAAAATAAAACTTTTTCATACGTATTATTATTGTAAAAAACGAGTAAAAAATAATTTTATGGAGGATTCACATAGTTGTAAATTTTAAACGCTCTGAGAGAGAAAAAATATGTTACATGATAAAAAATATTAGATAAATGTCATGAATATCTTATTAAATATTTAAAATATCACAAAATGAAAATATATAGATATTTTTATATGAGAGAGAGAGAGAGAGAGAGAGAGAGAGAGAGAGAGAGAGAGAGAGAGAGTGAGTATATTTATAATATAAAATACTATATAGAATATAGTAATATACAATGCAATTATAGTAAAGATAAATAATTTCGTGATAACATAAATAATTTAAGTTGTACTCACCTCAAGGCTTCTCTACCGCCGCTCGATATTCCCCAGGCCTTTTCATCTATAGATGTTTTATTGCACACTAACTCATAACAATGTTAATTATAATCGCGCGACTCTTTGCACGGCACTCCCGACGTTGATTACTCGTAATCGCGCACCGTATCAGGACGGAAGGAAATATAAAATCGCAAAAGACCACCCTATCCCGCCATATTCCACGAATTGATGCGAAACGATCGCTCAAGGAAGAGAATTCAAAAGTCGCGCGACTAACTTCACGCGCCATCCATTATGATGACGTCACTTCGAATTGCGCTTCACGTAGTAGCTCGGAATTTCGTTTCATCATAACGCAATTGGATAATGTATTATTTCAGCTTTCTTTAATATTCAGTGAACAACAATTCAACGCACCAGCGCGAGATTTGTCACGCGGGAAACACGATATCTAACGAGCGCAGTTTCAAGAAATAAACGTACCGAAGCCTGCGCGCTCATTGGGCGTCACACGTTGACTGTCGCATTAAAGCCGCGATAATTCAAAGGATGAATATATACATGTGATATCAATAAATTTCAAAATTAAATTCCAAATAAAAAATAATAAAATGATAGATACATCACGGTTTTTCATTGCTGTATTTCTCGATTCGTGTAAAACACTAGCTATTCTCCCCCAATTTCAAAAATAATTGTATATTGAGAAAAATGATTTTAGAAATTACAATCACATTTGAACACTACTTATACAAAAAATGTGTGCCCATAAAAATTTGCAATATAACAATATTTGTATGACGAATTTTTTGGCAACTTTATTCCTTCATTAATTATATGCAACGTGTATTACTCTTTCGTATTTACAGAGATACAATTTAATTACAAGCAATTGGAATTTAAGCGCATGAGTATGTAATAATCATTACGATAATTGACTAAATATCCAACAATAGGCGCAAACGATCTTATATATATATTTTCCTTCACCACACACATATAACTTCTGCTTTTTCACACATACCTTCCTACTAATATATATAATATAAGAAATTATTCAGATACTTACTATATATATATATAATAAATTTATACAAAAGTATAGGAACTTATCTATAGCAAATAAATATAAGTATAAATTTAAAAAAATCATAAATTGTCATTCTGTATGATACATTGACATATATGGAAATTGCATTTACATGATCCATGAATAAGTAATATAAAACTCGTTTATCTTTTTCATGTATCTATTACGCTTAATAAATTAATATTGAAAATATAAGTACAGAATTGGTCCGGTTAAACAATTAATTTCCGTATGAGACTGCTTCCATAAGTAATCATTGGAATTAAGATTTAACTCATTATCTCTTTTCAAAGAGAAAATTTAGAGTCAACTTTATTTAAAACTTTTATATAATATACATATATATATTTATTGGAAATAAATAATGGTATGTGTGAGATAAATTTATAAATGAGAGCAGTAGTTATATATATGTATACACAGAAGTTATATATTTATATATGTGTGTGTATACATACATACATTTATATGTATATATATACATATAACTTGATAAATAGAAACAATGCATACAGAATAATACAACTATCCGTGATTATTATTATCCGCGATATTATCATTTTACTTGCTCTACAATGTATTTACATACTTTTTTATACACTATTTAAAAATTCGTTCAAACATCCATATCCAAACCTGGCATTAAATTACTCATTCATACGTTTATAAAATTAAAACATCAGTATATATGTGCTATATACTTTCTTTTTTGAGAAAATTAATATTTAATTAAGACTAGCATAAGATAACCACGCAAAAATAATACAACTCAAGAGGCCCCTAGTTCTTCAATAAAACGATACTAAACTGAATGAATAGAACATAATAGAATTTAAAAAATTCGCATTATAATTTGATAATTATTACACATAGCGGTATAAAGCGTTAAATAAATAATCCTTGCCGTAAATAAATAAATAACAGGAGCAAAGATTAACAAGTATTATATAATTCTATTAACTGTAAATAAACGATATGTAATGTTCTCTTACGTGTCGTGACTTAAATATTATGTTTAATTATTCTATTTTTCCGACGGATATAAAACAATATATTAATTCGACTATATATTTTTAAATATCTTTATAATAATGCATAAAGAAATATGTAGAAAAACCGGAAATTGTTTAAATCAACTCTACAATTTAAAGCATGCATCTTTTACATTAAATTTTATTACACAATTTTACTTTTAGTTATCAAACTAAACTTAGTGCTTCTAAACACCGATTTTAAATAACATATATAATTGGAAACATATACAATTATATGTTGCCATAAATAATTTTGAATTATAGTATAAAATAATATTAAATAGTAATACAATATATATATATATATGTGTTATGATACGATAATTGCAGGTCATTTTCTCGTTTACGCAATTGCCTGTTGTTTATGATGCATACTCTTTCATAATAAATTAGAAAAAATAATAAATATCACGCTGTGTGTGTGTATGTGTGCGTGCGTGTGTGTGTTGTATGTGAAACTGTGTTCTGCAGATCCCGCATTTTTGTTTAATTATATAATTTTTACATCGTTCTATAAATATCATGTACACAAATTTTTTAATGACAATAGTGATCTCATTTAATAACGGAAACTATAATATAAAATTATTAAAGTATTTCATTATAACGTATATAAATATAATCACTGGATTGACAACATACGTGTGTGTGTGAGTAATAATAAAATTTAAAATTAGAAAATATATTCCTTACAAACTCGCGAAAAAGGTCTTGATCACTATTCACATACACCACATACGTTTCACAAGATCATTATTTATAATCTTTAAATGCACATTAAGTAATAGGACACATTTTCTATTAAAGTTTAAGTCAATATACATTATTATTCCTCCTTATTGTTCTGCTTTTAATCCTCCTCTTTTTTCTATACTGCTTCTCGCATTCAATTTGCAATCGTTCGCAAATCTGAGAAGGATTTTATCACAGCACATTTCTTTATCAAATACAAAATGCTGGCACAATTATTATTAATTCAAACACCCTCACACACATGTAAAATTAATATGTCGATAAAGAAACGTCTACACGTATATATTTCTTTTACATTTAACGCTAAACATAGTTATTTATTATTTAATTAAATAACAGTCGTGCTATGTATATTGTTATATGTCGAAAATTATACGGATGTATTTAATATTAAATTCTCGATATAGACTTAAATGAGGACGTAAATCTAAATCTCAGAAAAAGGAAAGGAATTAAGACTGATGTTGACATCACTACATCTAAAAATTCGTGTTTTTATAGAATAAACGTTACTTAACATATTATTGCTGGAAGACAAGAACGGATCAGAGAAAACAAGTCAAATAATATTTCATGAAAAATTCAGCAAATAGAACATCTTTTAAAACTTCACATATCTTTAATTTCGTTCATAAATCTACAAAACAATTAAAATTTTTAATAATAAATAAAAATTAAAATACACAGGAAAATCTATTATTTACAATTTTTATTTTTAGAAAAAAACAAGAAATCTAAGATAGTTTGATTTATCGAATATTTATATCGCTTTACTCTTGAAGAACTGATGAAGAAATAAAAAATAAAAATCGCTGCAATTATTTGGTTGCAGTTATCTTTCTTGTGATCTTTTAATCTTTCTTTCTCTAATTATAATATATTTTAAATTGTAATAACTATTGTTAACAGACGTGAAATGACCAGTGTAAAATATGACTTTTTTTGTACATAGCTAAACTAGACAAGATCATACATTAATATTTCAATATAAGTAGAAAATTTATTTGGTGGACAAATCAAACTTATCTTACTCTTCTTGCAATCAAGTAAAATTCAATTCCTCTTTGAAATCTTACATTCATTTAAAATTTAAAAAAACCAATTGAAAGTATATATAGGGTACCAAAGATTTATAAAACCAAAGATAACGGATAGATTAAGTATACATGATGTGTTTATAAAGTACTATGCCATCGTTTCGTGAATTTGAATCCAAAATAATAGCAATTTTATTCTTAATACAGAAAGATCTTCTTTTTTCCCCACTTTTGATATTATTTTATCTAATCATACGTATAATGGTAATTAAACATTAATTCTCTTTATATATGTATAAGAAAATTAGATCATTGGTCTTCCGTATGAAGTTATTCAATTCCTTCGGTGTATGCATACATAATTTATTACAAAACTAAATTATTATTTTAACTGTACGTTTTATTTAT